CCCCAGTTTTATTTATATCTGCTCAAATGTACCTATCACACGTGACAGGGTCCCAGACCTTCACCACTAATGCTCTTTATAGAATACAACTAGGTCTTGCATTTAATTAACACTATAAGTCTGTAGCCATTACCTGGATTTACGTCTCAGTCATACATGCTTAGCAGTTGCAAAAGATGATATTCTTAGATGGTATCAAAGAAGTTTTCTCATGCCTTAAGTTTGGAACCCCAACTCTTGACACTACTGTCCATTTGTAATGACATGAGTATACTAGCACTTGAATGCTAGGGATTGGTCTTCCAGTGCTGTGCCTTCCACTGGCACTCCATCCCATGTTCCTACAGACAGCTAGTTGAACACTGGTGACGCCACTCCATGCTGTGGAACACCAGTGGTTCCATTTTCCTTGAAAAGTAAGTCACATTGGTAACCATCAGATACATGGTGACACACCAGGAAGTAATTTCAAAGGGTACTTTTTTTTTTCCTGAAACTATATCCAATTTCTACAACTATCACTATCAATCACGATTCTGGGAGGAAAAAGCACAGAAAGTGGACCCAGTGAAAGAGATATTTTCACAAATAAGGATGGAACTAAGAGAGCCAGCAAGAGGGTAGTGAGGAACTCTTGAGACCAGCATCAGGAAAAGCCCTAGAGGTGTAAAGGAAAGGAGCATTTACTGGGATCCTGGAAGAGTTATACAGTATGACAGGACCACAGTCAGGCATTGGTGACTGGAAACACTAATCTCCCTGGGCCAAACTTTAGACACCCCTCTGCATCGCTTCTCAGCCCTTTGGCTAAGATCAAGTGTAGAAACTCCTCTGTACACAGTTATCTATTACAATAGGACAAAATGGATAATGAACAAAAACAAACAAAAAAAGATTATGTGTAACTCTTCATCTTCTCTTAGCTAATGAATTTACAAATAGAACTGATTTATGAGCTGCATATAGAAACCCTGTACCAAATCTTGCCTTAAGTTTAGTATTATCCTAAGGATAAAGGGTAACAGAAACAGTATCTTCACACATCTTTTAAAAAAAATGTATTAACTTCTATTAGAAAGGCAGATTTAGAGAGAAGGAGACACAAAGAGAAAGTTCTTGCATCCACTGATTCACTCCCCAAATGGCTGCAACCGTTGGAACCGAGCTGATTTGAAGCCAGGAACTTCTTCTAGGTCTCCAACATAGGTGAAGGGCTCAAGGTTTTGGGCCATCTTCTACTACTTTCCTAGGTCATAAGCAGGCAGTCGAAGCAGAAGGGCAGCAGCTGGATATCAACTGATGCCCACACAAGATGCCAGTGTTTAAAGATGGAAGACTAGTCTGTTGAGCCATAGTACCAATTCAAGATGTACAAGAAAAGAATGTGCCTGGCTTTCTTTACCTCTCCTTTTTTTTTTTTAAGATTTATTTTATTTTTATTGGAAAGGCGGATATACAGAGAGGAGAGACAGAGAGGAAGAACTTCTGTCCGATGATTCACTCCCCAAGCGGCTGTAATGGCTGGAGCTGAGCCAATCTGAAGCCAGGAGCCTCTTCTGGGCCTCCGAAGCGGGTGCAGGGTCCCAAAGCTTTGGGCCATCCTCGGCTGCTTTCCCGGGCCACAGGCAGGGAACTGGATGGGCAGTGGGGCTGCCGGGATTAGAACCAGCGCCCATATGGGATCCCGGGCGTGCAAGGCGAGGACTTTAGCTGCTACACCATCGCGTCGGGCCCTACCTCTTCTTTTAAAAACTGTCATCATGATACTGATTCTGAATGAGATGCATGCTCTATTGCTATTCACAGTAAAATTTAGCACTTGTGCTCTTCTCTGAATATGTGGTTCTTGCCTCAACAAATATGTGACTTTAATTAGTAACAGGAAGAAGAGCTACATTTGTCAAGTAGTTCATTGCAAGATTCATCAGAAGACTGAGTTAACTAAAATTATTGTTCATATTCTCTGTCCCATTATACACTTGCAGATTCTAATTAGCTATTTTATCTTTGAAAATAAACTGTGAACCCTAGTTGCACAGAAGATTATTAACAAAAATTGTCTCTTTGCTTTGCCTTTATAAAATCAGAGTTGAAACCAACAGCCACTGTTTACAGTTAGCATTTTATATAAAACTTTGAACGAAAGGGACAAATGGGGTAAAGCACAGAGAAAATCATGATGGCTTATTTAAGAAACTAAGTGGGAAAATATTCAGATAACATGAAGACATTAAAAATATATGATAATTAGGTTGGGATGAAGGACCTAGTAAGCCTTATATCTGCTTATTCAATACTTAGTCATTATAAACACTGGAAATTCTTACGAAACTCTCCTGTTCCCAATAATGGTTTATTATTCTATAATCTTCAACCTTAAAGTTACATGCTAAGTGTTTAAACTACAAAATTAAATTTACTGTGTTTAATGAAGATGAATTTGAGTTTCTTTTCCAACTGTGTAATGTTAAACCCACCGGCTATGACTTTACTGATCTTACTAAAATTAACTCAACCAGTACCAAAAAAATCCTTAAGATTCTTTTGCAGTTAGTACAAAGTGAATGCTTTCCTGTTTGCATCAGTTGTGGTATAAGTAAAATAATGACCATAGCAGACACATCTTTCTAACTTTGGCTTTTCCATGCTATCTGCCTTTAAGGTAATGGTCAAAGCATATGGATCTGCCATTACTGGCAACATAAAATACCTGTACTCCAGGGTTTTGCTGAAGCCCCAACTTTAAACTTTTTATTGCCTAATTTATTTTAAATGCTGTGTTTCAAGAATAACATACTTAAAGGATTGTCAGAAAGGTAGTTACCACTTCTCAAACTGAGCATTTGGAATTGTGCTTTATGAAGATAGCTCAGGAACTACCGCTTTTTCTGAAGCCTTAACATCAGGGAAAGATGTGCCTGTCTCAATTAGTTCATCATGATTTCAAAACATCATACAAATCTTCTGTTTTAGGAGGGCTGCCACCATGATATAGTACACTAAGCTTCTACCTATAGTGTCGGCATCCCACACATGCTAGTTCAAGTCCTGGGTGCTCCATTTCCAATCCAGTTCTCTGCTAATGGTCTGGGAAAGCAATGGAGGATGGCTCAAGTCCTTGGGTTCCTGTACCCAGCTGGACAACCTGGAAGAAGCTCTGGGTCCCTGGCTTTATCCTGGCCTAGCCCTAGCCTTTGTGGTCAACTGGGAAGTGAACCAGCAGATGGATGACCTCTCTCTCTCTTTCTCTCCTTCCCCCTGTAAGTCTGCCTTTTAATAAAAAATATATCTTAAAAAAGAATCCTCTGCTTCGGCCAATTTGTTGAATTGCTCTGTTGTCCTATCTTGCTATTTTTAACTTCATACTGGCTTCCTTTCCTACTCATATTTTGTGTTATTCTCCATACACTCTTTGTGCTGCTCCCAATCTCTGTGGAATAACGTGGATAGAAATCAGAAAGAAGAGATGCATTTCAGAACAGAGGAAGAATTAATGCTGTATCGGGCCAGATTTTCTTTTTTAAAAAAGAAATTGATGACAGCAAACAAGTACTAAGACACCAATAGAACATTTGGAATAGGTCTTTGAGTCATCGAAGCTAAAATATGTGCCCACTGAAACAAGTGCCAAGAAGCTTTGAAAGAAGGAACTGTTCTTCAACCCCCCTTTTTTTCAACACAGCAAACACACAGGCTTTGTCTATGGAGCATGTAAGCCTGGGCTTCCTTCTGTGCCCTACATAAGTACTCTTTGTGTGTAGAGTCCAAGAAAACACATGTAGAAGTGTCAATTTAATTTTTACATTGTAGAACCGAAGACAACGACCAACAATCAGGCGCATCCTTCCCAAGGACAGAGTTGAGGTGGGTGCTCAAAGCCATGCTCCAACATCTACAATTTGTTCTTTGGGGGGAATTTTTACGTCACCAGCAGCAGAGATTCAGCAGTACCTAGTTCTTTATCTAGACCTCAACTAAGGCTCTCAGATGGATGGTCACTGAATTGGCATCTTCTAATCCACACTGGAACCCAAAATGCAAAACACCTGGAGAGAAACAGCAACCCAACTACTTCCCCGAACACCTGCAGGTTGTTCTGTGCCCTGCAAAAGCATTTTCAACTTCTCTGGTCGACAACCCTGTTTTCAACCCCGCAAAGTATGACACTTTCCAGAGTGTCATATGGAAAAAAAAACCTTATCTTCTTCAAGATGCCAAAGACGGACACTGATATGTTGCCAAACGCCAACCTCTTGTCCTACATGGCACCTAAATGGGAGTCACAACCCAGGCTGCGGGTCCCTCGACTTGGCCAGAGCCCCTGCACAAGAGGTGCGGTGGCACAGTCGTGCCTACCAGGGCCGGCACAGCATCCTGGGGCTGAGAAAAGCCCAGCAGCAGACAGGTTACGCAGGTGCGCGATGCAACCTCAAACTAGAACCACTGGGAATGGCTTTGCAAAACAGGAAGGTGCAGTAGGGTGTGCCTTGGCTGGGTGAGCCCGGCACTGCCCTATTGCCAGGTTACTCCTGGCCCGGAGCCCTCAACGTACTTTTTCCGTGTTGAACGTGGAGGCCCTCGTCTTCCCTCTCCTCTCGTGCCCGCCCCTCTCTCCCTCCACCCGTCACCGCCCAGATTTTACCTGACGAATCTGGGGACGGTTTAACGGAGGCTCGTCGGCTCACGAGTGCCTGGAGCGTCCCGGTCTCTGCCGGCGGGAAGAGCGGAGTTAGGCCCCGGGAGGACGCGCTGAGCGAGGGGGGCGCGGCGGTACTGCGGCGAAAGTGCCGTGTCGTCCGCAGGCCTCAGGGCGGCACTCTGGTCCCGCGGCCGGCGCGCTTGGAAGGGCCGCTGGGCGCCAACCCACGCTGGCCGGGAACGTGTCTCCCGGTGACGCAGCCCCGGGTGGGGAACGTGGTGCGGCAGCGACCGTACGCGTCTCGGCCGCCTCTGAGAGAACGCGCGCAGCAAGCCAGCGGGCGGTGGCAGCGGCGGCAGCGGCTGCGGCAGCGGCGGGAGACTCGGCGCGGCCACCGGCGACGGCGAGCCGCACGCGGAGCAGTCGAGAAAGTAGGTCGGCGCTCAACAAAAGAGTCGGGCCGCCTCCTCTCAGGTACCCAGCCGGCCCTGGGCCCCGGCGGGCGGGGAGGCCGGGTCGGGCCGGGCCGGGAGGTTCGCGGGCGGCCGGGGGAGCAGCGGGGGAAGGGCCGCGGCCCGAACGGGGCTGCGCGCGAGAGGGCGCCGGGAGCCCTTTCCAGGCTCGCTTCCTCAGGGCCGCCGGCGGGACGGAAGGAAGGGGGCTGGACCGCGCGGGCCGCTTGCAGGGTCGTCGCCCGCGACGCTGCTGACCCGCCTTGGCTTGTCCCTTGTGCAGGCGGAGCTGCGGGAGGACGCTCCATGTTGGGAAGCGGCGCCGCTCGCCCTCGTTAGCGGGAATCGGGGCGCCGCGGGGCAGAGCCGCCGGGGGCCGGGCCCTGAGCGAAGATGGAGGCCCCGCCGCGGCCTGCCGCGGACATCCTGAGGCGGAACCCGCAGCAGGACTACGAGCTCGTCCAGAGGGTCGGCAGCGGCACCTACGGAGACGTGTACAAGGTGAGGCAGGCCGGGCCGAGTGGCCGCCGGGCTCCCGGGAATCGGGCCGCTTTTCCGATCAAGCGCACGGAGAGGGCGGGATGCTCTTTTATTGTTGCATCTTGGAGAGGAAGCGGCCGGAGTCCCTTTTTTTACTGTACTCTCCATGGCTGGCTCCCGGTGCTACCAGCCAGCAGAAACGAAAACCACATCGCTGCAAACCGCGGTTACCCTTTTTTGTGGTGTAAAGACTTTGAAAAGTTTATTTATGGTTTTGAAGCACGTTTGAATCTACTGTGGAGTTATCCTGAAGGATATTCTAGTGTCATTTTGCTAAGATGCTTCCTGGAAGACAATAGCAGAGAATATTGACGTTCAGGCATAAAAACAAAAAGTTTGTTGGATGAGCTTGATAGAATTAAGCAATAACTTTAAACAGAAGTCCTGTGAAATCCTGTTTCTAAATTCTGGCTGTTGGCAACCTAATGTTGGGTTAAAGTGGTATGTTTACAACTATCATTCCGTGTAGTAGATAGTTTTCCTGGCAGAAGTTTGATCATTTGTATCTGGTTGATGATTCAAAATGTAATAGCGGCTTGCTGGCTTCTTTTTTTTCCCCTACATGAGCACTTCCCTGTTTGGGGTTTGTAACATCCCGTAACCACAAGTGGATGGATAAGATCTGTGTGTGTGTGTGTGTGTGTGTGTGCGCGCGCGCGTGCACCTGTGTGTGTGTGGATGTATCCGTCTCTACATGCCCTCCAGTCCCTGCTCTTTCTGTGGCTTTAGACAAACTATGTCAGTGAAGTTGAATCCGTCTTAATTTAGGATTTAAAGCAAACCAACACTGGGTTCTCCAAGAGCTGAAAGGAAAGAGATTGTTAGAGACTTCCTTTAGGCTTTTTGTTCTCTGTTCCACAAAGGAAGCATTAATGTAGCTTGGGAGATATTAAGGGAAAGTTCGCTTACTTTTTGCAGCAGCGTCTTGGTGTATTGGATTGGCTGCTGGCTGAAGAGTATGCACACCATTCTTGCAAACCAGGGACTGGCACATAGCTGAAATGGCCCTGTGTCCTGTGGGTAACTAACCAGTACATGCCTCTGGGGGTCATATCCTTGTTTTGCACAGGTGATAGAAAATACCCTTTCTTCTAGCTTATTTGCATTTGTGTAACTTTCTCCCTATTAGTAGTAGCAGTTGAAGGTGGTCATGACAGCTCTTAGACTGTTTTAATTCTACTGTGATGAACTCCAGTGGTGAGATATTTTAAATAAGTAGGCATTGACTTTCCTTTACTGGGCACCCTTTTAAGTACTGAGTTGTCTGAGTTGTTAGCAGCATCCCAGCTGTCTTTTTTTTTTTTTTTTTGGACATGATTCTCCTCTTTATGTAAAACTAGAGTTGATGAACTCTTTCATTGTTTACCCCTGTATTACTCAGTTTGTGGAATGCTCTTTTAAACATGGGAATTGCTGTTTGCTGCCTTAGTCCCATTTTTAGGTCATCTTTGTCTTATGATTCACTGTGTATTAGACTAGTTTAGATCACGTTGATTGTGCATCGGTCTCAATTCCAGTTCTAGCTTTCTCTTCTCCCTACAAGAAAATTTCAGGACTCATTTCCCCTGCAGAGAGCTCACCACCAGTGCCTGTTTTCTTTAGAGATACAGCAGCTGAAGCAACTTATCTGGAGCAGGGCTTTATTCCTGCCAGGGAAAGCACAGATAGTGTTTGAGGTGCCTGTTTCTTACCCTGGTGACCCTGTGTCTCTCAAATAGGCTGCTAAGACTAAGTCAGAGACTGAGTATTACACCCCATCTTCACACACCCCTCCAAACCCATGGTCCCCTCTCCTCACACGTGATGTTACACCTAGTGTATACTTGCTGCACACTAGGCTAATCCCTGATTCCTAAATATCTTTAAAACATTCATGTCTCCTGTCTTGCTCTCTTTTGTGCTAATTATCAGGAATTGGCCCTTCTATCTACCTGTTGCTTTCCTGCCTGTCCTTGAAAGCCTTCCCTGGACGCTCCCCCAGCGAGCCCAGACCTTGCCTGTATCTCTCCGTCATTCCACGCTAACCACATTGGCCTGCTTGCCCTTCCTTGAACAGTAGTAAGCAGCTTCCTACCTTTGGCCTTTCTGCCTGATGTTTCCTCTGTTGACGGTGACTTCCCAGGTGCTAAAAGACTTGCTCCTTCCCTCCTTGGTTGACATCCTCTTCATTTTCTTCTTTTTTTTTTCTTTGTATGTATAATCATCTAACAATGTTCCACTCAATTTTTTTTCCCTTTTTTATCTCATTCGACTAAAATGCTCCATGAGGGCAGGAGTATTTATCTGTTTTTTGTTCACTGTTCTGTCTCCAATAGCACCTAGAATTATATATATATATATATCAATTAGGCTAAGAGTAAGTACTTTCTTTTAAGATGTATTGATTTTTTCAGGCCTGGCATTGTGGCCTAGCGGCTAAAGTCCTCACCTTGAACACACCAGGATCCCATATGGGCACAGGTTCTAATCCCTGCGGCCCTGCTTCCCATCCAGCTCCTTGCCTGTGGCCTGGGAAAGCAGTCAAGGACAGCCCAGAGCCTTGAGTTCCTGCACCCATGTGGGAGACCCAGAGCCTTTCCAATAAAAATAAATAAATCTTTAAAAGAAAAAAGATTTATTTTTCTTTTTATTGGAATGGAAGATATACAAAAAGGAGGAGAGACAGGAAGGAAGATCTTCTGTCTGATGGTTCACTCCCCAAGCGGCCACAACGGCTGGAGCTGATCCAGTCCAAAGCCAGGAACCAGGAGCTTCTTCTGGGTCTCCAATGCAGTGCAGGGTCCCAAGACTTTGGGCTGTCCTCCACTGCTTTCCCAGGCCACAAGCAGGGAGCTGGATGGGAAGCGGGCCTGGTGGGATTAGAACTGGTGTCCATATGGGATCCTGGCGCGTTCAAGGAAAGGACTTTAACCACTATGCTATCGCGCCAGGCCCAGGAGTAAGTACTTTCTCAAAATTTCTGAATAGGCAGATAACTGGCAGCGGTCCTACCAGCCAGTACTCTGAGCCTTTGCTTTTGGTATCACAACATTAAGTTAGTACTAAGAATTATTACATGAGGCCCAGTGTCTTGGCCTAGCGGCTAAAGTCTTCGCCTTGAATGTGCCCAGGATCCCATATAGGCGCCAGTTCTAATCCACTGGCCCTACTTCTTATCCAGCTTTCTGCTTGTGGCCTGGGAAAAGCAGTCGAGGACGGCCCAAAGCTTTGGGACCTGTGCCTGCATGGGAGACCTGAAAGAGCTCCTGGCTCCTGGCTTTGTATCAGCACAGCTCCATCTGTTACGGTCACTTGTGGAGTGAATCATCGGACAGAAGATATTTCTCTGTTTTTCTCTCTCTCTCTCTCTATATATATATATATATCTGACTTTGCAATGAAAATACACAATTTTTTTTTTTTTGTTAAATAATTGTTATATGAAAGACAAAGAGAGGGTTCTTATCTACTGGTTCACTTCCTGAAAGCTTATAGTGGCGGGGCCTGGGCCACACAAAGCCAGGAGCCAGGGTTCCAGGAATTCAATCCAGGTCTCCCAGTATAGGGGCAGGAATGCTGTTCCTTGAGCCATCAGCTTCCCAGGATCCATGTTAGTAGGAAATTGAAGTCAGGAGCTGGAGGCTGCTCCAAGTGTGGAACCCAGGTTCTTTGTTGTGGAATGTGGTGTCATAAGTGGTTTCCTAATCATTAAGCCAAATGTCTACCAGTGCTTGTGTTAGAATGTAACACTAGGTTCCATCAATGCCTTTTGTGATTTCTGCATATGTATATTTATTACATGTTTCAGTTATTTGAGTTTCATGAGAAAATGTTTCTGAAAAATTACTCAGCCTATTCATTATCAGTGATCTTAGTTCTGTGGCATTTTGTCAGTTTATATTTCTTAATTTGTCTAAAAGAAAGACTTTAGTGCTGAACTTTTGAGTCAACTTTTACTGTATTTCAGTGTTCTGAAGAGATGAAAAGCATAGTAAATTTTAAAGTGCTTTTCAATCTGTGGCATAAACTAGCACAATACAATGAACTTCGAGGATAAATGAGTTGTTCTCAGTGTTGGCTCCACTTTGTTTTTAACACTTCAAACATCTTATGAAGCAGAAGATTTGAAAGAACTACAGCTTTGAAATTGTGAATTACTATTTTTTAAAGTTATTTTGCACATTTAATTAATTTATTTGGAAAAGTTACTCAAAGAGAGAAAGAATTTTTTATTCCACTATTTGACTTCCAAAAGCCAGGAGCTTCTTCCAGGTCTCCCACACATGTGACAAAGGGTCCTAGCACTTGGGCCTGCTTCTGCTGCTTTCCCAGTTGCAGTAGCAGGGAGCTAGATGGGAAGCAGAGCAAGTGCAGCTCAAACTCATGGGGTACTGGTACCCATATGAAATACTGGTGTTGCAGGCAGCCACTTAACTCATTGTGCTCCTACACTGGCTCCCTGAATTATTCTTTACAGTCTGCAAAACTGCAGAGCCCTCTGAGGCTCCTGTCTTTGCTGTCAGTCCCCAAGATGGAGAGCTTGGTCTTAAACTTGCTGTTTCCTGCCTGAAAGTAGAATAGCAGTGTTAACGGTTGTTATACACAAATGGACTAAACCATGAGAGTGGAGAGCAGGAAGTAATGGAGGAGAAGGGAGCACAGAAAAGGAATGGGGTAGATGATGAATTAAGGATTAAATTTCAACTGAGCAAGTGTTACATACTATGAAATCCTAAATTTGCTAATGGGAAGGGGGAAATATGGAGCATTCTGTCCATGATGATCTAGAACAAATGTGGTATGATACAGCCCATAGTCAGCGGTACCAGCCATCTGGCAGTTTTTATCCAAACATTTGTATCAAAATTGTTTCTAGTCTAGATTCCAGAGATATTCTAGGGATTTTTTTTTTTTTACCTTTGTGGGATGTAAATTTAGAGTGAGCAATCCTCAGTACTTCTTTCAAAGGTTTATTGCTTTTT